TTAGCCATTTTTATCTCCACACGTCATGTCTATATCAATATCGTATCTAATGTATATTCATTAAATACTATTTGTTTTGCCCCATCCTTATATCTAACTTCACTTTACCTTAAAAACCGCCATGTTATGCCTTTACCCTGATTAATGATCCCCTATTTCAGTTTTATTCCCTTTTTTAATATATAAGATATGCCCCTTTACAATTCCAGAAGTTAAGTATATACATGATTTCAACGTTGAGGGCCACCTTAATATTTTTCCCTTTTTCATCTTTCTAAGTAACTCATTCTCTTATTTGTCTTTTCCCAATTCTTGTTTCTATCTCCCTAAATATTCTGCCGACCCTTGTATCGTGTGAAAACATTTTATACACTTGATCTATATCCAGTAGATCTTTATGCACTTGAGCTATCTCCAATAGATCTTCCAGGCTATTTTTAATTAATTCTGCTGATTTTCTCCCCTTATCTTAATACAGCTATAAGTCTCATCGGCTGTAGGATTAGAATGAAATCTAACTTTTTCCCTCTGGTTTCCTCCAGCCCTTCTTTTGGTTGGCATTCATCATCCTCCACCCTCACATTTCCTTGTTCAGTATTCCCTGTCTCCTGTTAAATCTATTCCTCCTTTAGTTACTCCTTGAATGATTTCACCTCTTTGCTACGGGATCTCACTATTTCTAAGATTGCTTGAAGGGTAAATTTTGTTCCATCCAAAAATTTTCCTTGTTGTAGCATTATATCCCAGGAATCCAAGTACTTGTATTTCAAGTAAAAGATGTCCAGAAGCTGAGAGCAGTCAGTCCAATTCCCACAATAATTGCTTCAGTAAGTCCACTTTAGTAAGTTGATCACCTTTAGGGTTAATTTAAAGCCAGTCTCTGATGTAAGTTGACAGCCCCATTCACTCGATGCTTGTATTAGACTTTCCAAAGTTAATTGTCTATGTTTTAGTCAGTTCTCAGGGAAAAAAAAGTCAAAACAGAGCCATGTTTGAGCATTCAAGGTCATGTTCTGGGCTTTTTGCCAACCCTGTAAATATCCATAACAGTTTAACTCCCAGTGTTATTTGGCTAAAATAATTTTAAGAGGAAAATTTCTTGAGTTTAACGCCAAAGTAATATCAAACTTTCTTCCTTTAAGTATAATTAAGTGTTTAATTAATGTCCAATTTATTTTCTTTGTCTCTCTTTGTGTCTCTTTCCCCTTCTCCAGATCCACCGCTGCTCAATTTAGTGGTGGGGCTAAAATACACTTTTTTTTCCTGTTAAAGGGATTATTTAATCCAGGGATAGTCACAGAGCAGTATAGTTTAGATTTCGTATCTCACCCAGTAGTAATGACGATGTTAATTTGGCTGATTTATCGCTTCTTCTTTTTAGATTTTGTATCTCACCCAGTAGTAATGACGATGTTAATTTGGCTGATTTATCGCTTCTTCTTTTGCTGGCTGCTGACAACTTGCAAGCAAGCTATTTATTTATTTATTTATTTAATTAATTTATATGCCACCCACACTACCCAGAGGTCTCTGGGCGGCGCTTGTTTGTCTGCTGGTTGATTGGGTAGTTTCTTGGATCAATCGTTCGTAACTGCCTTCCCCTCCATGATCAACAGGCTTCTCCCCCATTTCACCTCCTCTTTGGGGTGGTTTTAATCTCCTGGGGGGTCCGAAACAAGTCAGAATTCAGCCCAGGGGACGGAGCTCCGTCCTCCTCCTGCTGTCTCATTGCAGCGTCAAGCCGGAAGTCCATCTTTGGCTTTTAAAGAGGTGTTGTTACTGCTTTTAGTCTTCAGCAGTTATATGTATATAATTTAAGATGTGTTAGAGGTTTTTTCTTTGTTGAGCTAATAGATGGTAATTAGCAACTGTGCAAATTAAAATTTCCTCAGCCACTTTGGTTATTAGAACAAGTTATTAAATTTTGTATTGGTTTAAAAAATGTGGGAGGCCAATTACGAGAACACTGAATTACATGTAATTGATTAGCTTTGAAAGGGGGCTTGCTAATTTCTAAATATACACTGGAAAACTATATTTGTCACTTAGAACTTTTGTCATCTTTGTTCCCTAGGCTGAGTCAGAGGAGGATGTAGAGGAACATCCACAAGAGCAGAGGTAAGCATATTCAAAATAAAGCATCCCAGATCATGAAAAATGCATTAATCCACTTGCTAATAGTGAACTCAGTTATTATGAATACTTTAATGTATATTGCATTCTTGCCCAAGAAAGAGGATTAGCCATTTAAATTATTTGTTTTATTGTTGTTAATAGTCATTATTTTCTTTGTATTCTTTGATACTTTTATGTGAGTTAAAGCAGTGGTCCCCAACCTTGGGCCTCCAGATGTTATTGGACTGCCACTCCCAGAAGTCTTCACCATCACGTCTGCCAGCCAGGATTTCTGGGAGCTGAAGTCCAAGAACATCTGGAGGCCCAAGGTTGGGGACCACTGAGTGAAAGGGTTGATATTCATACAGTTGTGTGACACATTATATAACATGTTACTTAATCCTAACTAGGTATGAATAAAATGTCAGTGTTAGCTGCCACATTAGAATGGCAGTCATAATGGGAGATGGCTATTTTTTACACCTTGGGACAAGACTGTGGCTGTGGCTTCATTTAGGATAGGGAAACTGCAGCTGCCATCTTTGCACAGGGTAGCCTGGATTCCCTTAAGGCAGGCAGCCAGTCTCTTTACATGCTTGGCTCCAAGACCAGAAGACCTTGGCAGCAGCGATTAAAGAGGTTGGGGATGGGGTGGGGCCTAAGATAGAGAAAGGAAGGGGGTGGGATAGGCTGTGGTATTGGGTGGCTGTGTGGGGTGGTGGCTTCCTTTCTGCCGCCAATCAGCTGATCAGTGGCTGGTAGGCAGGATGCTGTGTGTGTGTTTTAATACGAAGGATGAATAAAAATGGGTAAATATTCATCCCTTCGTATTCATAGGGGTCTCTGGAACCCACAAATATGGATCAATGAATATTTAACGAATCGGCTATATTTGTCGGAAAAAGCGATCCATTTTTATATTTTATGATAGTAAATCATAAAGAACAACAGAAAGTGAAATAGCTTTGCAGGAGGGAGGCTGAGCGTGGATATGTGCCTGTTTTACAAAGCATGGTTTCCCAGCAGTGGCTGTGCTGTTTCAGCATGAAGACTGCATAGGTTAAAATGAACTTCCAAGGTGGTTAATTCAAGAGATACAGTTGCACAATTCTGAGAAGCTGTAACTGTGTATTACTCTCCATGTCTAATTAATATTTAGTGGTAATTATGAAGATGCCTCTTTGTTTACAAATGGTTATATTCTTTGAATAACCCCTGAGGGAAGTTGTAGATTTTTAGATGGACTGTTATGCATTACTGCTTTTGCTGTGTTTTTAGTATTGCTTGTGTTTACCATTTCTCGGAGTGACATTTGTTCCTTAAGATTCATATACTTATTGTTTTAGCTTGAATATTGTCTTTTAATTATCAAAACTGCCTTTTTATACTCATTGTTTTTAGTTTTAAATATTGTTTTTCAATTATGTAAGCTGCCTTGGGTCCTTTTTTAAGGAGAAAGGCAGGGCAAAAAAAAATAAAAATAAAAATAAATAAAGCAATTTGGTAAAGCAGAAACTTGTTTGCTACTTTGTAATGGCATACAATGTTTGTGTGTGTGTGTGTGTGTACTTGGTTATGAAGGGAAATTTCAAGTGAAATTTGAAAATGTCTGGAGAGAGTAATGTCTTGATTTTGATTGTACAATGTTTATTTAGTACACTCTCAGCCCTAAAGATAAAAATATTTAGTGTTGTGTTCTTTTAGAAAGTTTAGGTTAATTTTAGAATTGGTAATGCACAGACAACTGAGTTGCAGTGTATGCACATACATGTACCTCAGTTTCTGTTTTAGGTCATTTAAAATTATATACTGATAATGTAGGAATGCTTGTTTTCTTTTCACCCAGTGTCTGTCTTGCATGAAAAATAAATGTCTGCAAGTAGTTATCCAAGATACCATTCTGTTAGGATTTTCAGAGGTAATAGTTCACAGAACTCTTTGTAACTTTGAACTTTTACAACAGAAGTAAATTATGAGAGCCTGCACAAAAGTTTAGCTCATGAATCTCTCTAGCTGTGCTTAGTCTTGTCTAAAATGGCATTTTGTTTTGGTTGGATAGAAAATCTAACAAATTAGATTCACTTATTTTCTTCACAAATTGTTCTCTGGAAAGAAGATAAAAACTTAGAAGTGGCTATTGTATTTGTTGCACTTTGAATAGCTGGTAAGAACAATTAGTCAGGTTAATTTAGCCAGAAAAAGAAGGGAATAGAGGAAAGAGCTGATCAGAGTTTAGTTTTATCTTGGTTTGGCAATATGTCCTTACTGCATACTTAAGGAAGATTGCAAAAAAAAGTATGAGAAGTTTTCATTAGATATCAGCTCTTAATCAGAACTTGGATGTAATGAGTCCAGTAATGTAGTTACCTGAATAGGGCTGATCACATGGGGTGTACTCGGGTTTCTTATACAAGATATGTATATTGTGTCTGATTCAGTTCTTCATTTCTTCCAAACAAAGCTTTGCCCTTGTAGGTGTTTATTCAGTGGCCTTGTTTTGGGCTGTACAGCTGCTTCATTTCTGAGTTTTTTTGTTACATGACTCATGTCATTTTAGGTTATACATGGGTTAAGTGTTTTCTCATCTCTCAGATTAGAAGGTAGTGGAATTTTGTGGATCCTCGTGGGTTGACCAGTTATTCCACAGTATGGGTTGAGCTAATCAGGAGTCAAAATTTTGAGCAGAATTTGAAGGCAAGTTGGCTGAGTCAAAACTTCTCAGGCTACATTTTATTACTAAGCTGAGGCCCTTAAGATAAATTTGCTGTGATAAGAAATTCATAGTACAGTAGTAGATATAGATGTACAAGATGTTAATGAGATGAATGCACAGTCCACTGTTGGAGATAAACGTATGCCTAGGAAACATGTTTCTGGGTGCAGCTCAGGTTTCTTTTTACATAGTTCTTGCAGAATTTGAAATAAAGGGTGATACACAATCTGAGATGTGCAAACAGGACTGCCCCACCATCTGTGCTTAAATACAAAAGCAAACAACTGGGAGTTTCTAACAAACTATTCTAGGAAAGTGCTTCAGTGAATTTAGGATTTATATTTTGCTATCTGTTGTTTCGAATTCAATTCAAGTTCTTAATATTCCTGTGGGAGTAATAAGGGAGCAGTAATTTTAATTCTACTGGCTATAAGCAATTGCATGAATCTGCAAAGACATACGATACCCCTAATTCTAAATAGATAATTATCGTTTGGATCCAGTAGCAGCTAAATAGATTAAATATTGTGTAGTTACTGCTTTAGATAGTCATAGCCACATTTTTTTTTAATTTTGAAAAAGAAACTATTCCAGTTTTTGAGTTAAGTATTTCAGTCTGCTTCCCAGACGTGCTGTTATTCTTTGCCAGTGCTGGCCACTTAGTAAACTACCCAGTTGCAAATTGAAAAGGGTTTTGAAATGCAATCATAATAGAATTGGCGTAACCCAGACATGGATGCAGGGTGGATATAAAGGCCTGTTCTATAAAACTAATTGAAATGAATCAGAATTTCACAGAAGGATAGGTACATACTGTGTCTGACATTGCCAGCAATGTTGGGATCAATTATCTTGCAATTCGTCGATCTTTACTAAGATCCTATTTGTTGATTATTTTTGCAGGGTTGAATTTCAAACATGCATTTAAAAAGGTAGAATTTATAGCTTTAGGGGAATTGACTCCTAGGTCGAATCTTTCTGATGGCTGAAAAATCCTTTGAGACATTTTAAATTCCAGTACAGAAACTTTAGGGCCTGCCACCAACATTTCATTATTTTTCATGTCCCACATCATCCCAGGAGTGTTCATCAAGAGTGACAGAGTGTTCATCAATCTGTGCTGTATGTTATTCTTTTTAGTAGTTTTTACACATGTGCTCTTGGATATGGCACACTAAAATATATATTGTAGAAATCAAGAACCTTCCATTATATGGAATATGCAATAAGAAAGCCTGGAGTGTTTATATTTTTGGCAGATTTTGATTTCTGCAGAGCACTCTGCACAGTTCCCGACATTTTCTTTTGGAAATAAAATTGAAATATGTTCTGTAAAAGGAAACTCCAACTTTTGAATTTAAAAAATTGAAAGCAGAAAACAGTTTGCTGTTCTTAAAGCTGTTTTACATAGAAACTACAGTACTTTCTTAGATACCTGAACTAAAACATTTAAATGCCCTAACAAGCTCCTATCCTCACATTTTAAGATAATTTTTCAGGAACTCTCAGTCTAGTACATAATTGTTCTTAATTTCTCTCTTTTTCAGAAGACTTCCCTTAATATAACCTGACAGAGTTCAAGTTATTAGCCCTGAGTTTATACAGGATATTTAGAAACTCTCATGGTGTTATCCTCTCAGTGTAAGAATTGGCAGTCTACTAATTACTGCAGGTTCTTCAGTGAATTAGATTTTTATATTTGTTAATGGAAATGAAGGTTGATATGTGACTAACACGCTACATAACAGCCAATGTGAAGTAGTGGCTGGAATGTCAGACTAGGACTTTGCAAAGCTGGGGTCAAAACCCTGCTTGGCCATGGAAATTCACCAGAGATAGCAGCAGTACACCATTACTTGAAAACAATATTAAAGAAAAGCAAAGTGTGCTGTTTATATGCTGCACCATAACACTGGTGGAGTTAAGAAAAAAGAAAGTAATATAAGAGCACCAGTGAAATCATAAGACATCCTGTCTACGCAATGTTCTAAAATGTGGTTAGTTGTAGTTTCACTGATGTGCAACAATGAAGCAATGTTTTTTTAGATTAGAGAGAGGTTATTTATCCTCTGTATTATTTCACACACTGTTTTTGTGAATACCAGTGATGTGGATTTAGAATTGATTTAGCAATTGATGTTAATTTTGGAGAATTCTCAACATCAAATGACAGGGAAAAGTCTGTTACACAATTCTTGTAGAAAACATAGATAACTCAAGCATTTTTAAAATTTGAAACAATGACAACTTTGATGGGCTGGTCATGTTTTCAGGGTATCCGAAAACTGCT